AAAAAAAAAAAAAAAAAGAAACAGGATATTAGGTGAAGAAACAAGGATAACATCGACAAGTGAACCAATAAGTCAACGATGTAGTTTACACTTTTAGTCCTCACCCCCCCCCCCCCCCCCCCCCCCAGAAAAAAACAAAACCTTGGTTTCTTCAAGCTATGACGTACTCTGTTTCATTTCAAGGACAACCGCAGGCTATCATGGAAAACAAGAAGTACCAAAAATGTATCGTCACGGCGCTCATAGACATTTTTTTTTATAGAAATCTATAACGCACAGAAACAAACACTGGATCTATTCACTGTGCGTAATAGGCTTAGCCGGTGCGAGCAGGCCACTGATCTCTACTCCAAGGCGCTGGATGGCGCATGGTTGCTCTCTGAGCCTGGAGCAGGTGAAGCCACCGGAGTTCGATGCTCGACCCGGAAATCTGGTGTCTGCTGGGCTTCTTAGTTGATGTTTTGCTTCGTGCTTTCCTGAGTCTTTGAGTGGGTTTTAATAATTACGTTCTGACTTAAATCCCAGTAGGAGGGAATTTGATCGTGGGACATATGCACACTTGATCAAATAAATCTAAAAATTTGCAGATTCAGTGGCTTTGGGGGAGACTTCTCTGGTCCACACGCGCCTCTACTGCGCAACAAGCTGTCTCTCTTGAGATGACAAGAAAAAAATCCAGCGCTCTGGACGCTTGTCACGCTCATCAAACTATAGCACTCGGAACAGTTGAAAAGCCTGCCAAGCGCTCACTTCAGGGACAAGCCATTTACTTCCGGTGGCTTCATACCTGTTTGGTATGACACCGCCGGTTAATGAAGATCAGTGCTTGATCCTTAAATAACAATGGGGGTCATTAATCGCCACTAAACACTGACAAATTCGTCAACTATTATCTTTGCCTTGGAGTATTTTTTGTTCCTTCATACACAATAAACGCCAGAACTCCAATTACTGCCTGCTGCGCACGAAATGTCTCGGTGCAATGGCACAAAAATCACTGGTACAACAGCATAGAAGCCCTGCGTTGAGTATTCGTTAGTCCCCATACTATCCTGAACGCATACTTTTACCGAATACCAGCGGAGCGCTCAAGCAACTGAGCCTACCAGGGGCTGGCAGTCACTAGCAAACTGATGTTAAGAATTGCCACCAGTCATAATCATAATCACCGCAAGGGTGCTATCAGTGTACGTCTATAGCACGTTGCAACTCAAGAAGAGGAGGAGGCGAAGCCTTTTCCTTTTCCCCTTTTAACACAGCGAACGCTGGAGTCCGCTCTCCTCTCCAGCATTTGCTCTGCTAATGTGGAAAGAGGAACGGACTCCGCCTCCTGCTGTTTTTGAGTTGCAACGGACTACAGTTCCGGGGGCTCTGGAATAAGTCACACTAATCTATGGGACCATAATTCTGGGGATCAGTTCCGGGACTGGTCCCGGGAGTAATTTTGGGGGTACAAGCAAGATCGGTCCTCCTCCTGCCGAAACGCCGACGACCTTGCGACCTGTTTCCCAGTGACGAACGGCCCCCTTCGCTGAGTGTTTCCAGGAAGAGTAGTCGGTACATTATCTGGAATTGCTCTAACCGGTCAAAAAACTTTTTTTCCGAAATTGCACGCCATTGCCTGTCCGCCATTGTTTGAGCACGTACTCTGAGTCTGTACTGGACACGGCGAGGACTCGAATCCAATCATATGCTTCGTGCTCAAGAAGTAGTGAGCGCCAATGTTGCTTGCTGTACTTTTGAAAAGGGTCAATTGAATGAGTGAAGCGTGCCTGGCTTCTGATGCAGCACGACATGGCAGCAGTTGAAAAAGTCAGCGTAAAGACAACGAACTCGTTAGACGTTCGTGTTTATACAGCGCAAGGTCGGTCTGCCTTTAAGGTGTGGTAAAAAGGGTTTACGTTGTAGCTGAGAAATTTGGCCAGTACAGTACGAATGCTAGCCTGATGTATTTAACGTACGTAACGCAGTAGTGATGCACGACAGTACGCCGGCACGATTTTCACCCAGCTCGAAACGGGAAGGGGTTCGCGCAGTAGACCACAATGATGAAGGTGCGCGCATGCCGTGCAAGGAAGCTGAGAACGGGAAATGCCGTCGTTTATTATACTGGACTGGCAGCCGTCGGGTTCGACTACGAGTGAGTTCGCAAATCTGACGTATGGCTCACTGGGCAAGTTTTTCTGTGCAGTGTGGCTCCCAATCATCATCAGTGCAATATTAATCAAGTGTGTCCTTAGATCGTCAATTTGCGGTGATAACTCAATCTACGGGCTCTAAGCATCCTAAAAAAACCCGAAATTAGGCTTATGGGTGGCTAATTTTTTTGTTGAAGATTCAATCGAAGATCGTGACACGCCTCTCTTTCTGCGCCCTGGAAGAAACGCCAAGGGGCGCCGTCGGAGGACGTTTTCAAACAATAATTGCTGTAGTACGTCTTCTACACCCACAGATTTGACTTTGTTGTCAAAATATAATCGCAACGCGCCTAAAATATGCAAATTGGTCATGTTTTATGCCGGTGGTGGACTCTCAAGGACCCCCCCCCCCCCCCCCCCCCCCCCCATGAAAAAAACGTGTCCGCGTATTTCACTTATTGTGAGTGAACTAGGATATCTTGCGACCTAGAACTGGTAATATTTATTGACTAAGGCCCCAACAAACAATGTGCTTTCAAAAACAAGCTTCTGCGAAAGTACTTCACTGCTTTATAGGCCTTTTGATCTACATACCACCCTGCATTTTTCCAAACCGCCAGAGGCAATCTTCATAAACTTTTCAAAAGCCTTCAAACAGGTCCCCCATAACAAATTAATATCCAAACTCACAAATCAAAACGGCAACAGTAACGTTGTCTCCTGTATTGAAGCTTTCCTGTCCCATCGTACTCAATCTGTGATCGTCGATAATGTCACTTCCCGCCTCTGAATGTCATCTCTGGGGTTCCTCAGGGTTCGGTTCTAGGTTCGCTACTTTTCCTAATTTATATAAAGGATATTCCATCTTCATTATCCTCTGCAGTCTGATCATATGCTAAAGACCTCTTGCTCTATCGACATATTTCTTCCATTGATGACTTCACAACCTTGCAACAAGATCTAGAGGCATTAACAACCTGGTGTCTTTTATGGCTCATGACCATCAGCCCGGATAAATGTAAAATAATGTCATTCTCAAGATTACAAAATAAAGTTCTTTTCTATATATTCTATTTTATCTGGCGACATTGAGCGGGTAAACGCGTTTAAATATTTAGGGGCGTAGCTCTCTGAAGATTTATCATGGAAGTTACGTCAACTACATCTGTTCAAAAGCTAACAAAAAACGTTAGGAGATTTAAGGCATATTTTTCTCGCGAACTCTTTTGTTGAAGTTTAGCTTATATCACACTAGTCTGAAGTATGCTCTAGTAATATGAAACCTTCATCGAAGCTATTTAATTAACCTACTGGGAGCTGCCCGAAATCGTACTACTCATTTTATCACTCGTAACTACTCCTGGAGAAGCATCTCTCATTTAAAGCAATCCCCATTCTTACAAACTCTCAACACTCAGGAAAAAAAAAAAGGTTGCCTGTTTTTTATGAACAGATTGTATAGTAATCCCTGATCTCCCCGAGCCTTTCTTTCTCCGGCCCGCCATATTTCATCTCGCCTCGATCACCTGCAAAGCGGAATCCATCTTTTGCAAAACCAACAGATTGAAAGAGTCTGTCCTCATGCTTGGTAACTAGCAGTAATTACAAATGTTTTTCGCACGAGATTCCTAAATTGTATTGAATAATGTGTATAGACTGATGTTTCCTGACCATCACTTTCTTTTTTCAGTGTGTGGTTTTCGTTGGTTTTAGATATAGAAAATTGAATTTGACACACCCCTTATGTAATGGATTTTCCAAGAGGCCCTTAAAGTAATACACTGAGATGGAATAAAATTGCTAAGGATACATTGCGATTTTTCGGTGGAGTCAGAAGGACTGCCAGGAAAATCACAATATGACTCTCCCTGATGGCACGTAACGCTGGAACCGTGTCACTCGCCAGCCGATTCAGTTAGAAGAAGAGAGAATGTTTAGTAAAGATTCGCGGCTTTGTTTCATTTATTTAGCAATTCCCTGGCTCAGTAAAGGTCGTGGCAGAAGCACTACATAATATCGATGAAATACCGTAACAATGCGCCAGGCACTGCCTACGGCACAGTTGTTTTTAGCCCTTGTACTTACTTTTCGGTCACTTAATTAAGCCTGGCCCCGGCTGAAGAAAGGTTTCTAACGCTCACCGATGTCTTGCCATCAATGCAGAAAAAGGTGCGGACAAATCGGTTCCAACTGACGACTGCAGGTTTATTCCAAATTGCAAACACCGACACAAGTATAATAATAATGCCTTTATATTTTCCATCAAAGCGATGGGGCAAGTTGAAGGAAGAGAGCTGACCAGTCAGCTTGACGGGCTCCCCCCTCTCCAGAAATTACACAATTAAAGATCACGAAGGCATACAGTACACATTGAAACATATAGAGCACAATAAAACAACTCTATAAATGCTCAACACAAATTTAAAAAACTGAAATTTTATATAATCATGTTTGCATCAAAAAAATAACCTCGAATTTTTTTTTGATGTTGATTCAAGTCATATATTGCAATGTTTAAAAATTCAGCAATTTTGAAAGTTCACGTTTTATCGTTCGCTCTCCGCAACTTGTTTCGCACGATTAATTGTTGCAAATATCGGTTATACCGGTATTATATGTGACTGTTTTTCTAGATTAACATGCTAATCGAACAAAAACATGCGCAAGGTTTAATGGTTCGTGCTTATACCCTAAGTTTAAACGATATACATACTTGTGAAATTACATTATACAATATTTCTGAAACAGTGGAGCAAGACGGGTGGTCATACATAAAACGTTTCATATATTCTTACGCATAACTTCCCGTGTAACACGCGCATTGTTTGTAAGCTCTGGAGTGTGATATTTCCTAAGACTAAACGACAGTACTTTAGGTGCGAATAAAATAGTGTGTTGTATTGACTGTGGTCACAGCAACCTTCGTAAAAATAGTCAGACTGCAGGCGAACTGGTGTAAGTTCAGCATGATTGTAAACCTGAGAGTGGGGTAAGAAAAGGAAAATGCAAAGGGAAACAAAAAAAGACAAACAAGAACTCTTTTTTTTTTTGTCTTCCGCGTTTTCTTTCTTCTAACCAAGTGTCACGCTTACAGTCATGTGAAACTTTCGTGTCTTTTAGGCGTTCGACAAAACGTTCTGATTCAATTAGAAAGGATACGGGAGACCCGCGGTGGAAGAAAATACATAACCGCTGGCCTAGCCAATACTACCTAGAAGACAAGGCCCGCGCATCACGTCTTCGTTAGCGGATCCCCAACCCTCCTCAAAAGTGCCAAACACGCCAAGCTCAACAAGAGAAACCGCAAAACGGCAGACACGTCCATCTTGGCGTCGCCGCGTGCTGGCGTCACGATCGTTGTCAGACGCCGCACGATGCGCTGGCAGCGACGCCGACACAACCTAGGCGATGCTGTTTGGATCCCCTAGCGATGACGCTTGGTGCGAAGAAGGGGGGGGGGGGGGGGAGGAGGCGCGTACCTCATTTTCTAGATGGTATGGGCGAAGCCCGTGTTTTTGTGCAGTCAGCGTGGCAGCTTGCGTTCCATCTGACCCACCATGTGAAGGAGGCCGGCCAACATGGCGGCGCAGAGGTCCAAGTCCTCGGCATTGATGCCGGACACCGTGTCCGCCTCCGTGTGTCGCATGTCCTCGTGGTAGTACCAGGCGGTCACGAGTCCTGCGACGGGCACGCCGGCGATCCTCCAGTGTTTGAGTTGCGTCGCGCTGCCGCCCTTCAGCAACTGGTTAGCGCCGATTTGCTCGAACTCCTTCAGCATCTCCCTGGCAATGCACACAGTGTCGTTGTTCTTGACCGCCGACAGCGCCAGGCCCAGGGGCGCGAAGGCGGCCAAGTCGAGCTCCAGGGCGAGGCTGACGTTTCCGCTGTCCGAAGCGTGACGACGGTAGAACTCGGTCGCTCCTTCCCCGCCCTGCTCCTTGGCCGTCCACACGACGAAGCGCACGGTTCTCTTGGGCCGCAGCTGGAGCTTCTTGAGCGCCGACAGCGCACTCCAGATGACGAAGATGGCGGCCGCGTTGTCGACCGCACCCTGACCGATGTCCCAGCTGTCGATGTGGGCACCCACCATAATGTACTGCCACACGAGAGAAAGAGCACCCATTTTAACGTTCAAATAATTGGCATCTTCTACTTTTGACATTGTTCGCCTTGTCACAAATGACAGAAAACACACCTCCTTTCATCGAATTCTTGTGATTCCGCCGCGTAACAGCGAGGCAAAAATTAGAATATTCCACGACCTGCAGCCGCGGGCGGCGGCCACGAGAAACACGCGGCATGACGTCAATGGGATTCTTGTAGAAAGATAGCAAGTTGTGCGAATACCTGCTGGATAAAAGGTAACTTTTTTATAAATCTTGTCGTTCCAACATAAATATAAATGCGTCAAAAACCTGGTATCATCGACAAAACTTTTATTATACGGAGTTTTAGTGGCGCCATCTATCTTAGGTCCACAAAACCGTCAGCTTTATCTGCTACCGCGAACAGCCCCCAGAAGCCGGAGGTGGAGGGGTAGGGCCGGACGGGTATGGCCAGACCCGGATGAGACTTTCCTCCTTTCACCCTATTGTTCGCGCTGCGCCTGCCAGCACGTGGTCACGCGGTCGCGAGCGGATGAATTCTCGCTGCTCACTGATGGCTCTAGAGAGAGAACTTTACCAGAACCCCGTGCCTACCCCATCGACTTGACTGCGCACGTGACCCGGAAGACGATGTACGAGTTGAGAAATGGCAAAAACCTGGATATTTTTCATTTTTTAAAATAAAAACTAGGGTATCCAGACAAGATCTGTTTTCTGTAGTTCACTTCAGAAGTGTCAGGCATCAACTTCCACAATTATTTAAGCAAAGCCCTGAAATTGTTGCACAGCTCCTTTAATGTCGCAGACACACTGGTCTACATCGAGCAAAACGTACGGTGTTCGATGCAGACATGACGAGAGAATTGTCTTCGCCTCACACATGTTCGAAGCATGTTTGCTTTAAACATGCACATGGTTCGAACACGCACAAAGACAGTCTCGTATGACCAATATGACAGGAGCGTCACGTAAGTAAGAAACACGCCTCGGACAGTGTCTTCAGACTGTCCTTTGTATGATGTATTAGAAGTGGGACCGCCGCTTTAGGCTGGTTCAACATCTACGTTCTGAGTAGGACCAACTACGTGGCAACTTCTTGCGAACGCTAACGACGAACGTTACTACAGTAACCGAGGGCCGAGGGATGTTTCAGCACAATCAGCGTCGATGTCTGAACCATGGCTTCCAGTACGAAAGGATAATCGTGGCTCTGTTGTGTTGCACCAAGAGGAGGGACTAGTTTTCAGGTCATCGTGAAAACTAAAGGCCTATAATGTCAGTGATGTGACGAAAATGACGAGCCGCGTCTTCCCGCAGGTGCAGTTCAGAGGTCTCATTTTGGTCACCGCAAGCGCCAGAGCAAGGTCTAATTTGCCTCTCTCGGAGAGAGCGAAGATAGCGTTTGTAGACGGTTCGTCCGCTAACGTGAGTGAAGAACGCAGATCGTATTCTACAAATCGTCAATTGCAGACGGAAATGAAACGAGAAAACACCGTCCGTCGTCTGCATACAGACCGAGAAAAAAAGGACGTTTATCGTTTGCTACCTGTCTGTTGAGGTTGGAAGCAGGCTGAAATTGTGATCGTCTGCTATTTCACTTTGGAAGCCATTGACAACTCGCGGATCGTTTACAAACTTGAAGTTGTTCTGCTGCCGTACACAAAATGACACCAATCGGTGGGTGAAGGAGTACTAATTAGGCAACCACGTCAGAGGCCACCAGACCTTTCTGGCGTTGTGTGTTAATGAGACGTTTCCATCAACTTTTTGCACGATTGTGAACTCGCGAATGGGTCAAAAGTCGCTAATTGGTTGTTATGCATGCGCAAGTTACGGCGCCACGGCCAGTCAAAAGCTGAGAACGTTCTTGCTCTCATCTTAACCAAGATAGGACCCCGGGCCCGAGTTCCTTCCGTCCCACGCGGCGTTTTGTTCCACAAGCTCTAAAGGGCTAGTGAAACCTCGTTCCAGAATGCATCAGAGCTGAGTGGCCCTGCCTGCGGTCAGCTCAACGCGTTCGAATACCCCTCTCACCTCCTTGGGGTACTTAGTCCCCATCCAGTCGGCCACGATGTTCCTGGAGACGACCTGCTCAGGATCTCCGGGCTCCAGCTTGAGGTAGACCTGCACCTCCTCTCCTGCGGCAGACAACAGACAACCGTCACGCAACCTTATTATACGCAAATGGTTAATTTAAAAATACATTATGATTGTGAAACAAATCCACCTGGGGCGGTTTGCTGATTAACGCGGGTACCTCTCCCGTTGACCCAAATCTCCGCAAGTGGGATTTTCTGGCCAAGCAACCGGCTCATGAACCGTTCATAAATAGTGCACGAAGCCCTTGTGCACAATCTATGAGACGTTCTTTGATTCGCTTCAGGATAGCATTAGGAATGTTGTTCTGCGCAAATCAGAAACAAAAATATCGCTTTGCAACCATCCTGATAATAATGCAATTAATGCAAAGGTTCAAGCGAGCTGGACAAGAATGACGATAATAATTAATGGAGAAGAGGAAGAAGGGGGACAAGGAACAAACACAAATCTCCAAACACAGCTAGGTGGCTGTTGCGCGACGAATTTTCTCGGTCGCGCATCAGTCACATTACTATGTTTAGAGATTTGTGTTTGTCTTTTGTTCTCCTTGTTCCCGTTCTCCAGGTAATATTATCGTCAACAACCATGCTCAACGCTTTGCGCCGGCTCCAGCACTTAATTTTCTGTTATTCCTTGCGGCGCGCTCGCTTTTCAGCCTGTAACTTTATGAATGCATTAATATTTGCTACAGATGTTGTATAGCTAAAAACGGGCTGCAACTTTGGTTATTCTTCCAAACGCATTTAAATGTGGTAGTTTTTTAGGGTGGATCGTCCTCTTATTTAGGGTTGTGCATATGGCAAGATGATCCATCGTCTTTCGGTGCCTGGAGTGGGTTGTGCTCTCAGTTCAGGTGGTTGCTAGGGCAGGGTTTTTGTATAGAAACAGATTACGTCATGCCATCCTCTTTGCGACGCTGCGCGCACTTCACTTTAGCACCACCCGGATACAAAGCGGTGCGCTGAATTTTCTGGATCACCAAGAGAGGGAAAGCGCGCTTTCCTGCCCTTCTGCTCCTCGTTCCGCGCGCTTTTTTTACGTCACCTGTTACTGCTCCTCTTTTTCTGGCCCTTTCCACATATTGTCACGAAAGACAAATGATGAGGCGATGAAAACTGAAGCAAACTAAACGTTTACTGGGAAGAAATTGTTCCCAAAACACAATAGAAAAAGGCTAGCGTCGCAGGCGTCGATTTCGGCTAAACAGCAAGACCGAACCGCTGGGGCGATACTGACCGTGGCTCGCCACGTGGAGACCCTTATGTGCACGTGTCGGCTCCTGGAACAATCGACGTAGAAGTTTCGTCGTGTAGAACATTCGGACCTCGAACAAGCAATAGGGTTCTCGAACAAGCCAGTAGGGCTCTCGAATTTACCAGAAATCTAAATTGAAAGAATAAATAAAAGACGCGGCGCTCCCAGGAATCGAACTCTGGGTTCGATTCCTGGGAGCTAGTCAAGCGCGGTAACCACTCGGCCACGCACGCGCTCGCTCGCGGACGCGCGTGGCAATAGCAGACATGTACAAATTACTCAAAAAAGGTAGTTAAGTTAAGTTACTGAGTATCGACGCCAAAAGTAATTGGAGTAGAGTAGAAATTACGCATTCGTAATAGTAATTGAGTGAACTACTAACTACTGTAAAAAGTAGCGAGTTACTTTGAAGTTACTTTCGAAGTTACTTTTTTATATATTTGTGGTAGCAAAATGAACAGCAGTTTTGATCAATGAAAAACCCTGCGAGCCTAAAATAAATGCAGTCTATTTATGGCTTGCGTTTTCGCCAAAATAGTTTACTTGCTCGCAGAAGCAATTGACTTTCAAAGTTCTTGATAGGAGAGTTTTCCCCTTTTCCTTCTAAGGACGTCCCCAGCCCACCTAAATAGACGTTCCACCGACGGGCTGGATGGAACTGCAGCGTTGAATTTGAGAAACAGGCTGTGCAGGGTCGGGTAAGCGAGTGTCGGCATCTTAGGTGTCCATGACGAAACTTGTGAGGTTTGCCTCGGGTAGAGGATCTTTAATAACAAACTTTCCTCCTTTTTTTTTTTTTTTGTTCGTCAAGTTGAGATTGTTATGTCTGGCCCCTCTTCATTCCGACGTCGTTCTGAGAGTACGCTGGGCGAGTGCACCAGACCGTCAAGGGTTCAAGTGTCGCGGCACGACGATGAGATCATCCGGACGACTGCGCGTCCCGTTGTAGTGCTAGTACTACGCTACTGAAAAAAAAAAAATTGTTTTGGTTTAACAGATAATGAATCGAAGTATACTTCGCCGCTAACGCCGGGTCCAACAAAAGGATCTCCCAAGGGTAACTCGCAATCCTCGCCGGCGACTACAATATTCTGACGCGCCTCAATCATTTTTAACAAAAAGGAGGTCTCCCAGGCATAGATGGTCGGAAGGACGCGAAGGATTACGTGAACAAGCATCGTCGCTCGTATACAGTTGCAGCTGTAAGCGGGAACGTGCTCCCATGCATGAACGGATTATCCATACCAGGGTTTGTGCGCGGGGCAGTCCGGCTTTGCAAAGGCGTATGCGCTGACGACAAGGCGCCCAGCTGCGAGGTCATTCCTGTGGCGCCTCCCGTGGAACCTACCGCTTGAGTCAGAACTCACTAAAGACAGACAGCACGAAAACAACAACTCTCAGAGTGCCCCCCCCCCCCCCCCCCCCCCCCCCCGTCTTTCACGGTTGCTGCTGGAAACGCGGCGCCTGCGTGCATTACCGGATTAGGTCAATACCCGACCAAGGCTTGTTCAGCATCTCTTCCCGCGTTCGTGCGCGCCGGTGTTATGTTTTGGCTGCTCGTCGCCACCTTGGCCCAAGGACGCCTTCCCGAACAAGGGGGCCCCTTGTTCGGGAATGCCACTTCATCTGCCGGCGTCTTATTCATTTCTGCGCTCAAACTTTCGTAATGGGCAAAATTAGCACTATATAATTTCGAAAGTAGTTAGTAATTTGAGTAGAAGTTACCTGAAAAAAGTAGTTAAATTAAACTACTAATTACCCAAATAGAGTTGTAATTGAAAGTTACCAAGTTACTCGAAAAAGTAGTTAAACTACAGTAGTTTGAGTAGAGTAGTTGAACTACGTCCAAGTCTGGGCAATAGGGAGTTTTAGTAGACCGTGTTTCCCGCTCCGCTAGCCCTCCGCTACGAAGAAACCGCCACTGCGCCTGCGCGCCGATGGCCTTGGCTGTAGAGTTCCGGGTAGCGGAGGGGCTTAGCGGAGCGGGAAACACGGTGTACTAAAACTCGCTAATATCTCCACTCTACGCGCTTTCTCACACCACCTGCTTTTGCTCCTCCCTTTCCTGCCTGCTGTGTCCGTAGCTTTATTAGCAGGGCACTCAGCATCCACGCCGGTGACCGCTGTTAGATCCCTGGCACTGGTTGCCGTTTTGTTCCAAGATCGTTTAGAAGTTACCGATGGACCGACCTACGCATTTTGTGCTTACGTGACTCATGAGGTTAATTGGACCCATAAAGCTACGACTTTAATAATTTAAAACTAGCGCTCTGAAAGCAAATCAGTAAAACAGTAGTAGCCTCTTGCGCTGCCACGACCGAGCCAGACGAACGTCTCGCTCTATTTTGCTACGAGAGTGACGTGCCAACGCCGCTGATTACCAAGGTTGCCGTTTCTCGAACCGGCAGTTTCGGTTTTGACGTAGAATCCCGAAACAACATGTTCAGGCAAGATATCTACAAAACTACAAAAGACACCGAAAAAAACAAAAATTACACCTCGTAATTCAGAGACGCTTCCTGAACGAAACCCCGAGATCCAGAATATGTAGCAAAGTTAGCCTGTAAAGAAAATCATCGTCTATTCGTTTTCGGTGAAACGTTGTTTCTGACCTTCTACTTGAGAATTCACGGCACTTGGTTTCGGAAGTCTCACGTTGAGTGAGTTATTTTTTTATTTTTTTTTTAAATATTGAATGGGGTCACGCAGACTAGCAGCTTGTGGATTTCCAGAATCCTCGAAGCAGGCAGTTCGAGACACCTTTCAAGAGGAACTCTGGCAAAATTTTGAGACACTGATTTGACCCGAAATCGGTTAAAGGCAGCAATAGGCACGTCTATAGACTATACTCTCTATCACATAAAGAAACTTAGTAAATGAAATCCGGCGCTCCTCGCGGAGCATTACTGATTTCCCAGTTGGTTGGACTCCCTCTTTATGTGGGGAATTAAGATATATGTAGGTGTAGTTTAGATTAGATATACGCTTATTATCAAGACGTACACCTTTCATACGCCAAAAGTATCGCTTTTTCCTTGATCTTGTAGGAACTACTTCGCACGGCGTATGAACAACGCGCAAAACTTGCTTTTTGCTTGAGGTCAAAACAAGTAGAGTAACCCGAATGACCAGTAACAATAATTATTTTTTTTCGCGATGTTAATGAAGTTTAATATTTGGGCCGAAAAGCTGAGGCTCTACTGGCAACACTGAAAAGGTGACGTCAGATGTTCTAGTGGTGGGGTGAAACGAGTGCTACTCAAACTCCGACAAGCTAAAAAAAAAAAAAAGAAACGAGGGGGGGGGAAGTATGTGCCAAATTGTTTTTTGTTGTTGTCGTCTATTCGATTTGCAAGTTAAACAACCCGTCACGTCACCTCACTGTAGAGTGCGGAAAAAAATGAATATTGCTTTTGTCACATAACCTTCATTTGTCGCTTTCTCAGTGGCTATCTTGAACTTAGGCATAATAAATGGCAGACCGGAATAAGTAACGCCTCGGTATTCCGAACAGCTGGTTAGTTTGGGTAGGTCCTAAAACCGCCTTTACAGGCTCCGTATATACGTTTGACTTTGTAGCACTACGGTGCCTGGATCCCGTCGGCGACTAGTGTGTTTACCTCGTCCCAAAAAGTGGTTCTCGATATCCACTCGATGACGTCACAGAAATGCCACGCTGTCCCCGGCCGCGATCCTGACGATGTCGCGGCAGCAATGGTGGATGTGGCAGACAACTGTTCAGCTGCAGGGCACTCTCCAACTTGACAGCATGCGGGAGTTTTGACAGCGAGGGATTGCGACGTCGTGACGACAGCGACACTCGCGTTCCCTGGTGCTTTCTACCGGAACTTCTACGGCCAACCACCAGAATTACGACATCTGAGAGCATAACAATCCGGCTTTTGTGACGTCATTTCCGGAACACTTTCGATGCACGGAAGGGATAGAACACAGTGAATGAAATAGAACATATCAGTCGGAGACGCGTTCCAGGCACCGCATGCTCGGTCAGTCGGCCGTAGTGTAACGCCCACCTCTCTTGGTCATCCTGGCCAGCAGGTCGGCATCCAGCTTGGTGAGCACGGCGGCCGCGATGCGTGGCGTGCCCTTGTCGTAGCCCGTGAGGCCCGCGTACAGGGCCGTGCCCGTCAGGGGTTCGGGGGCCCTAAACAGGCAGGCCAAGGCGCCCTGCCGGGCCGCCTGGCTGGTGCCCCGCAGCAGGTAGCTGGCGTAGTTGCCGCTGCCCTTCCACTCCGGCAGGTACAGCACGATCCGACCGCTCACCTACGACGCCACGGGTCCGATTTGGGTCACCGCGAGAGCAAGTGCGAGATCAAATGGACCATCCAGAAATATGTGGCGCATTATAACGATCCCATGTACGGCACGTGATACATCACCCAATGAACGGGAGTCGAAGCCAGTTATTTCAGAACTCAAAGAAAGCAGAAGGACAGCGAAGCAAAGTTGGCGATGACCTTCTTTTGTTTTCGTTTCATTTTCCGTGTGCTCTGAACACCCAGTGATAAAAAAAATGAATCGTGGAGTCGGCCCCAGTGGACAACGGAAGAGCTCCACTATTTCCCTCGCCGCCCACCTAAATGTGGGATAACCGTGAGGTCTCCTGGAATTTTCCGGCAGGATCTATTTGCCACTTGCAGAGTGAGTGAGGATAGAGTACATAAACGGTTCGTCTGCTAACGCGAGGGAATAGCGCGATTCGTTTCTTACAAAGCGCCATTCGCGCACGGAAATAAAGCAAGAAAGCATCATACGTCATCCGCTACCAAATTGAAAAAAAAAAATATATATATATAATCTGCTATACGAATCGAGTGCTGTGGCGAAGTGAGATCGGACGCGGGCTGAAATTGTGGCCGTCTGCCATAACCCGCGTTTCGTTTGCAAATCTCAAGTTGTTCTGCTCCCGCGCACAAGCTGACATCGGCCGGTGGACGAAAGAGTACTAAGGACAAGCACATCAAACGCATTGAGACCTTTCTCGCTATTTCTAAGTTGTTCAGTCGTTCCTGCCAAAATATACCAAACGAGTCAGAAATTTTTCTTCAGTTGATTACGCAGTAAGCTGTGGCGCCACGTCCAATCAGCAGCCGAGAACGCCCTCGTTCTCACCTCGACCAAAATCGGACCCCGGAAGCGAGGGCGTTCGACCGACTCACTCACTGCCTGGAGGTTGTCGAAGGAGCGGACGACGCTTAGGGCCGCCGTCACGCCTCCGGGAGGCGTCCCCACGGAGCCGCCCAGTCCCAGGATCTTGAGCCGGCGGGACTCCGGCTTGACGAGTCGTGCCACCTCTCCCTGGCGCTTCCAGCGCACGGCTAGCACGTCCTCGGTGTGCACGTCCTGGAAGCGATCCAACCGAAGCTTCTCGACCAGGTGGTCGATGGACTTCTCCAGCGTGGCGCTGCCCAGAATGCGCTCGCTGTACTTGTCCACGAATTGCACCATCTGCTGGTACGCCACGCCTGGGAGAAGATTGGGGCAGTCGCCAAAACGTACGACTCACCAAGTACCGCGCCCTACCAAAGCCACCTAGAAGACAAGACCTGAGCACGACGTCATCGGTAGTGGGTCCCCGATCCACCCCAAGCGGCAAACACGCCGAAGCTTGCAAAGTGGCAGACTTGGTGTTACCGCCTTCTGGCGTCGCGTTCATTGCGAGAGGCTGCAAAACGCGTGGGCGGCTATGCTGACTCATACGGCCTCTTCCTCTCGGATTACTATAGTTCATTTCACTTCATGTCTGTGGAAGCCGAAGCTAAAAGCACGAGCATATTGCCCCGAACGGTGCGTGCACTGCAGGAGCGCGTGCTTTTGGCAGGGCCGGTGAAAGACCAAAGCTCATACTTGTACCTTGTGCTGCGCTCACAGGGAAACGAAGCATACACAAGAGGAGGTGGCCGTGCAGTTCTCGCAGAGTTTCAGTATGTGGCGCTCTTGTACGTTGATGAAAGGTAGAGACGTTCGCAACAAAATGTATTTGCCTATTTAAGCCGTAAAACATTATCAGCGCTGCTCCTGATCACGTCGTGTGAATGCGCCAGTTTTCTGCCAAATACTCAACAAAAGCATTTAAGATAAGATACTAGATACCCATTTGAAGATGTATTTGTATTAGTATTCATGTCACTTTTACTACGAACTATCTTGAGTACAGTTCAATTTTTTGAAAAAGTAATTATATTACAAAGATACTTGGCTAGTCTTGCAAGCTGGTAATATAACAATGAAAAGTCAGATGCATTTGTGATGACTTTTCTGAAAATCACATTTTGCTGTGATCTTAATGAATTTCAAGAAGCGCCTGGACTGCTTCAATTAAAGTTTAATTTGAAATAATTCGGGATGTGCAACATAATGCGTGCCGAAATATCTTAGGAACAAACGGGACTCGTGTATTGTAGACATGGTACCTGCCGTGCTTTACTTTCACAGCCTGCTCTGCTCATGACGCATTCATGAATAAGTCTGGGATACACCTCGCCTCAATTTCGGGGGGACTTGACATATAGTCCGGCATTGTATATCCATAACAGCCGAACTAGAAGTTGATCAGGCAGCCAGACTTGTTGATGAGTACAGGAGTGAAAGGCACACGTGCACGCTCAGGAGAAGCATCGCATTCGAGGACAGCATCCTATGTCGCTGATTAACCACCAAAAGTGAGTACTTTGTCCCAACAGTCAAACACAAGAAGAAGCAACTGTACCTTTAAACTGTCAAAAACACATTAAAGAGGCGAAGGGGGAAACACAGGAAACACAGGAGAGTGTCCACAAGACCAGACTTGTTCCCGTTAATTGAAAAAAGTAATTATTTACAATTACAATTACTTGACCTAATATGTAACTGATTACCCTTCCTTACAAATTACTCGCAGTAAAAGTAATCGATTAATCGATTACTTTCGATTCGTTACTTTACTTGATTACTTTTCCGTTATTCCAAAGAAACTTACCGTGTGTTTTGGGGGCGGGATTTACTGCCGCATCTAAAATAAAACCCGGATCAAATGCGCTTCATTAATTTTTCCACATGTTTAGGTTAAAAACTTTAAGGGGTAAAATCTATGAAAAATAAATGACTTAAACTGGTGTTTGAGATAAATGGGTGCTGCGCTGATCGGCCGAGACAGTGGTGCATCACATGAACATACCACGAATACATTTTGGGCATTCTGGTGGAGGCCACATGCACACACCACTCCAAATAATCCTTGTTTGTCATCAGCGTACTGCAGAACACTGCTTCCACATGCTTTCACTGACTGCTTCGTGTTGGTAAAGGACTATTTTTGTTAATTTAAACGGTTTAGGAGTAAGAACAAAATGGTCTACTTGCTTTTGGATACGTTTCCAAGACTGTTGTTTGATGAAGGATGTTATCCGACCAAATGACTTCTTTTTTTCTAACAAAATGGTGAATTGGGCCAGTTTCTAGTTCACACAATTGAAATGGTAATACTCAAATTCACAGCTGAATTGAGTATGCCGTTAGGAAATTATCAAAAAGTATCATCATCAGCTTTCAGCACTCACCCACGTCTCTCACACGTTTACAGCCGCTCTCCTGTCTCAACTCGAGTATCCATGCCAGCCACTGCTTATTCCGCGTTTCCCTTTCCCCAAAGGTTTGGTCTAACTTCCGGCACGCGCAGTCCGCTGACGAGAACCCCCATCATCCCCAACTGGAACTTCCAACATTTTAGAGAGCAGCTCTTAAGGCCCTGTCACACTGAGGCAACAGTTGGACAACTCTATCCGGCAACACTGGGAAGTCGTGTTGCCGGCGACCCTGTCACATCAAGGCAACAACAACAGTCGGGCAACATGCTGTTGCCGCCCGGCAACCGTGTTGCCCGATCTGTTGTCCGACAACCCTGTCACACCGCGCTGACGGCGGGGACAACGCGGGGAACACTCGGCCATCTTGATTGTTTACCTTCGTTCGTGTGCGGCGCGGAATCGCTGCAAATGTGACTCTACAAAGTGCTAGTGCGCTCGAGAGGCCGGGAATTACCACGGTACGACATCAACCAGTGACTGTGATTAGAAAACTTGACACGGGGAGTATTTTCCGCTCTTTATTTTATCGAAATGATCTTCATTCGCTGACAAAGGAGATAGCCCTAACCGAGGAAAGTGACATCGCTGATATATGTTCGGGATTTACGCCACCGTATGGAGTGTTTCTGTCCGGTTCTTTCATGCAATTCCTATTTCTACTGTAAAATTGAGTTAGCGCCGGCAGTACCCCAAAGCGTCTTTTGTAGCGCGGTGTTGAGCCGAACTGACAGTGCTTCAAAACTGCGACACCGACACGATCGGCCTTCATAACAATCGGTGGAATAAATATTTTTCAACGCTGTCTACTTGATCGCTTCATTCCCCCAAAACGTCATGGGAATTTCGAAAACAAATCAGGTGTCTGGTAGCGGCTGTTTCCAAGTTCCAAGAATCGACAATCATGATCAGAGTGGTCGTATTATGCTTCGATTTTTTATTATTTGGTTTTCTGGATCATTTTTATTATACTTTATTAGCGGGTGAGTAGGCATGCCATTTTATTTCCCTATCAGTAATGTGAGCTGGTCTCTCGGCAGTTCTAATTTCAAAACCAGGCTGAACGTTCACGGCCGTAGCTGCGACCATTTCGAAAATCGTTTTCCGTATCTACGCAGCAAAAACAGTAAACGAAAATATTGTAGCTGCACGCCAGCCCTAATTATTGTTAAATAACGTTTTCCAAGTAAGACTTTATTGATAGGGGACTAGCTCTGCCATCGAAGCTATCTATGTTGTCGTGTTGCCGGCCCGAAATTCGCTCAGCCAGCGATCAGGGCAACACACGTTGTCGAACACAAGTTGCTGCTGTTTTTGTTGCCGAAAGCTATCATACCGTGGCAACATTTTAGTTGTCGTCCATGTTAATTGTCGTGCTGTTGCCGCGATGTGACAGGTTTGTCGGACAACACGGGGAGTGAGCAACAAGTTGCCCGACTGTTGGACAACGTGTTGTGTTGATGTTGCTGTCGTGTTGCCTCAGTGTGACAGGGCCTTTAGGCGCCCGTTTCCGGCTTGAGCGGCGTCGCCGTCAGCGTAACCAAGGTCACCCCAAGGTTACGTGACCCCTCCCAAGGTCACCACAAGGCCACGTCACCCCCGAGGTCACGTGACCCCTCCCAAGGTCACGTGGCCCCCTCCCCCCGAGGTCAGGTGACCCCCCGGAGCATATTAAAGAATGAGGGGAGGAGGAGGAGGGGTCTACCCTCCCCTCAGTACCCTTCCCTCCTCCTCCTCCTCAAGAGCTGCGCTCCAATTCGGCGTTACAGGGAGTTGTAAACCGTAACCGTAACCGTAAATTATTTACTGGTAACCGGTTTTAACCGATATTAACCGAAAAATAAAAATACCAGTTCTTCTCAGGTATGACCTGGAGAAGGGATCTTGAAATGTCGTGGCCATTTGACAGAGTTACTGTCAGCGAGCGGTGCATCTGGTAATACATTTCCATTCAATCTAACTTTAGGATTAAGAATACTTCGTTAAAATCAGTGTTCGAGCTTATAACGAAAAAGTCGAGATTTTTTTTGGTTCTCAACATGCGGCTTGGACGTCTGAAGCCATTTCGGCAGTAGCACCCCCTGCCTGCTCATTGCCCGCCGTCGAAATTCACAAGGGTTTTAGACCGATCTCCGTTTAAACTGACAGCAGAGTTTATAATGCAATTTTGCTGTTACAATAAGCTGCCGGTGTCACATCGCCGACGCATGTTCTGCTTCACGAACCCACTAGTGGGAAGTCACATGGCACAAAGCGCAAAGCTGGTTGGCCTGCAGTATTTAGCTTTTAGAAAGCTCAGGCGTGAACAGGGGCCAGGCCCCACGCTGTTGTATGTGTGTTTGCGGGGTGGGCGCCCTTATGCTTAAACTTCAATAAACAATCAAGAGCAAAAACAAAACGCAGACAGGGGGGGGGGGGGGGGGGGGGGGGGATAGTTATCATTTGGGTTCGCTCTCGTTTCCGACTTCTCAAAAGGACCATTTTTGAAACGTCCTTCTAAGTTGGGCCGGCCGCACTTGGTTCGCTCTCGCTGCATCCTTCGCGTTTCATCTTAAAAAAAAGGGGGCATTTCAACCTGTCGGTGTCGTAGCTTGGTCACCGCATATGCCCGGAGAAGCTTCTTCGAGTACGTCCCTCCCTTCTTCCAAGTGAACTGCACGCACGCGCTCACATACACGCAAGCACATGCTTTGATCCCCCGGCTTGGCTTAAGGTTCCTGAAACACGTCCGTTCTGCTCTTAAAACATGCAGCGAAGGTCAGGACAAGGTAGTTGGGTTTTGCCGAAGTGGCCGTAGGCGCTGGGCAATGAAGCACCGAACTGCGCCTTTGTGTCAAAGCACGGTTTCTGTGCCTTCCTTCTCCCGAGCCACAGGAGGGTGCACTGGGACTAGTGAACCCCAC